TTATAAACTATAAACACCTAACAGTGGAGCCCAAAATATACAAAACTAAAACGGACATAAATAGAGATAGCAATGTTACATTTAACAATAATAGTTGTAGACTTCAATAGTCCGCTCTCAAAAGTTGATAGAATAACTAGAAAGAAAATCAGCAAGAATATATAAAACTTAAAAAACATCAACCCACTTCACCTAGCACCCATCAACAGTAGAATACACATTCTTTTCAACCACATAAATAATATACTAAGCATAGATAATATATTAAGTCATGAAATAAGTATTAATAACTCTAAGAGGATGGAAGCAAATGGAAGTCATACAAATTAAATTAAATTAGAAATTTAAAAAGAAAAAAGGGCCACCCAGGTGGCATGATGGTTAAGGAGGCTGAATCCCACATAACCAGCTCTGTTGTTCAAGTCTCAGACCTGAAGCCTTGAGAAACGCACCAGGCATATGTGGATGCATGCCCCAAATTCCAAGAGAATGAAATATAGAGATCGCAGTATGGTCATTGCCTCTGGGGCAGGAGGATTTCTTGCTTTCTCTCTCTCTTTCATCTCTTGCCTTAGAATGCATGTGACCTAGAACAATACTCAAAAGAAAAAAAACAAACAACAATAAAAAAATATGGAGATTAAAGTAATCAAAACAATATGGTATTAGCAAGTGAAAGAGAAATAAGTCAAAAGGATAGAATAAAGAACCCAGAAATAGATCCATGCAGACATATCAACTGATCTTTGACAAAGGAGCAAAGGCTATTGATTGGAGTAAAGAGAAAAGAGAGTCTTCAACAAATAGTGCTGGAGCAACTAGACATCCACATGCAAAAAAAAAAAAGAAAAGAAAAGAAAGAAAATAATATGCAGACTAAACACCTTTCATAAAAATGTATTAAAAATGGATCATAGTAGGAGCCAGCTGGTGGCATGGTGGTTAAGGTGCTGGACTCCCACATGGCTGATCACAGTCTGAGTCCCAGATCTGGCGGCTTACTTTCTCACCATAACCCCGTCCTTGCTCTTTCTCCCTCAGGTGAGCGTGCATGCCCTGTAGCAAATTAAAAAATAATAACAATGATAAATAAAATTAAATAAGTAATTATTTAGAAGAAGAAAAGGATCATAGACCAAAGTGTTAAACAGGAAGCTACAGAACTCTTAATAGATAACACATAAGAAAACTAGATGACCTTTGGTTTAGTGATGACTCCTGGGCTACAACGGCATGAAAGAAAAAAAAAGTGATAAATTAGGCTTTATTAGTACTGAAAAACAGAAGCTCTGCAAAGATCAATGATAAGCATGAAAAGATAAGTCATAGACTGGGAAAAAAATATTTGTAAAACATCGATTTGAAAAAATGATTTATCTCTAAAATATACAAAAAAGTTTGGAAACTCACCAACATAAAAGCAAACAACCCAGTGAAAAAGCAGGCAAAATAACTGGACACCTCAAGAAAAAAAAAAGATATACAGATGGTAAAGAAACATGAGAAGATGCTCAACATTTTATGTCATTAGGGAGTCGCAAATTAAAATAACAGTGAGGTGCCATGATGCAATTATTAAAATGGCTAAAATCCAGAGCAATGACAGCACCAGATGCTGGCAATAGGATTCTCTTTCATTGATGGTGGGAAGGCAACAACCATGGGGTGAACTCGGAAGCCGGTTTGCCAGTTTCTTAAAAAAATAAACCTAGGCTTACATATGATTCCAGCAACTATGCACCCTGGTATTTATCAAAATAAGCTCAATGTCTACACAAAAACCTGCCCATAGAGGTTTATAGCAGCTTTATGCATAATTTGCTGAAACTTGGAAGCAATCGAGATATTCTGATTATATAACCTGTTTATTCTTCAACGGGTGAATGAATAAACAAACTGTTGTATTTTCGTAACTGTGATCTAGTCTGACGGTGGAATATTATTCAGCAATTAACAGGAATGAGTTACAAGTTTTATTAAGACCTAGAAGAAATTTAAAGGCATATTTCTAAGTGGAAGAAGTCAATCTAAAAAAAAAAAAAAAAAAAAGCTACATTCTACATTATGTCAACTGTACCATAGTCTGCAAAAGACATAACTATGCAGGTAGTATTAATATTAAGATAGTCCCTTGTGTTTTCAAGGGACATGAGAAAAATAAATAAAAATAAAAAGGGAGTAGATATTTTCAAAACACACACCTAATAAAGGACTTGCACCTAGAATTTAGAAAGAATACCTACACCTCCATGATAACATGTACAATACATCAATAGACAAACGTGTGAACAGACATTTTACCAGAGAAGCTATAGAAATGGCTCATTTAAAAAATGCATATGAGAAGATGTTCAATATTAGGCAAATTCAAACTAAAATCCCAAGGAGATATCATTTCATACTCACCAGATTGACTGTCACATATAAGACAAGTAAGAGTGAGTAAAGATGTGGAGAAACAAGAATCCTCCTATATTGCTGATGGAACTGTGAAGTGCAGTCATTTTGGAAAACTGTTAGGTGTTTTTCTCAAAATGTTAAATATTTAACTATCTTATGATCTGGCAATGATGTTCTAAACCCAAGAGAAATTAAAACATATGTCCGTACAAAGACTTGCACAACGATGTTTATAACAACATTACTTATATGACCAAAACCTGAAAACAATCTAAGTGTCCATCGATTGGTGAATGAATGAAAAATAAGTGATATATACATATAATAAAATACTATTCAGTAATAAAAAGAACTTCTGACACATGGTATGTCATGGGCAAAACTCAAAAACATTACACTAAATGAAAGAAGACAAACAGGGGCCAGCCAGTTACATAGTTGTTAAAGCATTGAATTCCCACATGACTCACCGTAGTTCGAGTCCCAGATCCAGAGGATTGAAACTCAGGCCAAGTGTGTTTATGTGCCCAAAATCCCAAGAGGAGAACAGAGGAGAAGGGACTGTGGTGTGGCCATGCCCCTGCGGATGAGTTCTCACTTTCTCTCTCTCTGTATCTTCAGTGAGCACATGCACCCTATAGCGAATATTTCCCAAAAAGAGAGAGAGAGAGAGAGAGAATCAAAATGAAATCATGGGCTACATGGTGGACCCTAAAAAGAACAGAACAATCCTGTGAGTCAGAGCCATGTGGGAAGGTTGCAAGTTTCCAAGTTCATATCTGGAGACTTCCCTAAGCGTGCCAGGCATGCTGTATCTGTAACCCAGGCTGACTGGGGCTAGAGGTGGGTCATGACATCAGGATCTTGTCAGGGATGTTGTTTCTCTCTCTCTCTCTCTCTCTCTCTCTCTCTCTCTGTTATGTGCATGCATAAGCACACATATGTGGATAAATGAATTTTTTTAAAATAAATTATATATTGTATGATTCATTTGTTCAGAAAAGGCATATTTACAGAGATAGAGAGTGAATTAGTGGCTGCCTAGAGCTGGAGGAAGAAACAAGAATCTGTAATAGGCATGAGGGATCTTATTGGGAAGGATAAAAATATTCTAAAACTGTCTTAGGGGGATGGTTACACTACTTGGTAAGGTTACTATAAAACATTTTGTAAATTATTAAAATAAGTAAATAATTAGTTCCCAGGTCTTGTGCATGCAATGATTTATTTCCTATGTGCCTCACCAATTTTCTGGTAGTTCATTACTAGTGATGGTCTTGGCACTTTGTAATAGATTTACAAAGGCTATTTGGGGATTAAGTGGCCACCAGTATATTTTATACAGACTCAAGTTAGCTATTCCTGCAATATCCTCTCAGACTTCAAGTTTAAGAACCTCAGTGGGAGGAAGAGTTCTTACTCCAGAAGTTTCTCAAATGTCTATTTCTTTATTTTTTGTTTAATTTACTTCAAATTTGTCTCTATCATACTTTTAAAATTTCTCAAGTTTAGTAAAAACTAGAATGTTCTGTGTTGTTTCGTTCATTTACATAGTTTTTCAGTGGCCCTTTGGGTGCAAGGAAATAATACTGTCCTGCTTTCGGTATGTTTTACTCAATATTAAGCATTTTTTTTTGTCGTCTTGTTCCATTTAAAACACTTATATCAATTTGTTAATAGCCTTGCCTTATTTGTTAGACAGTGGTAATGTCATTCAGCTGATAAGCATAACATTAGTATATGCCTATACATGAAGAAGGAAAAATATTGCTAAATAATCAAATGTTGGGCCAGTTCTGTGGCACAGTGATAAAGTGTTATTAAAGAGAAGTGGATCTACATGGCAACCACAGTTCTAATCTCCAGCCCAGTCAGCCTGAAACACACTGAGCATGCATGCAAGTGCCCAAGGTTAATGGGCTAGAAGACTGAAGGAAGGAGATTGTGACATGACTCTGTAAAGAGTGTTCCTCTCTCTCTCGCTCTATTTCCTCCTCTTATATGCATCCACACACATGAATAAAGAAAATAATATTTTTCAATAAATAAAATAATCAAATGTTAACGATCATAAAATATGGTCTCATATTTTGACTAAGATAAAAATTTCACAGCTATGACATAATGACATGGACCGCAGACAAAGATTATACTTCTATAGAAAACATTGGGGGAAATTACTTGAAATTGATTAATTGTCTCATTACTGATTCTGTGCATAACATGTATAACATGCTGGAAACATGCACACACACAAAATTCATAAAAAAAGAGCGTCAAGCAGCCAGTAGCGTGGTGGTTAAAGCAGCTGTGATGCAGGGTGTTGGGGTGATCAGACCTAATACTAGGGCTGAATTCAAGGATCATGAAATGACCAGTTTCTTTGTCCCATGCTTATGGAGAATTAGAGACATGGACACAGAGAAGGGATATTAAAGAGGAATTTACTAAGAGAAAAGAGAAGAAACAGCTCCCAAGTAGGGAGGAGTCCCAGGAATTTTTTTCAAAGAGAGGCTAGGGTGAGAAGTTTTTATTCCAGCAAGGAGAGGCTCTGCATGCATTTTCCTCATGGGGACTATATGTCAGGTGATTTACATCATTCTTTTCCTATCTGACAGGGGGCTCACAAAACACAAGACTTCAGACTTTCAGACCGAACTGAAGCCTGACTTTAACTGAGGTCTGTAGCCCACACAATTTCTAGTCATTATGTTCTCTACAAGTCTAAGACAAAGCATTGTTCTTTGATGTATTTTTTTCCTTGTTTCTGAAATGTAGTTTCATTTAGACCTTCTTATCTCACGGGTACAAGCCTGCATGCCATGTTCCCGTTTTTCAAATGATAGCTCGAGCTTTTTGCTTGCTTGTGCTCCAGACTAGGAGAGACTACACTCTTTGTTTAGAAAGAAGTAATGATATGAAAAATGCTAGCTTCAGTGTCATTATCTCAAGCACGCTGCAAGAAACTTTATGCGTAAGCAAGTAGTGAGAGTTCAAAATTGACTTTTAGTAACAGCAAATGATTTTTTATTAAAGGCTTAACTAGAGTGACTCCATCTTGTCTCATATTCTCCATTACATGGGCTCCTAACCCTATCTACTGCCAAGCCAGAGATCTTACTCCTATCCCAGCTGGACCTACATGGTCAACTAGGCAGTCCACATCTTTTGACTGGTGAATTAAAAAATATGCCAGGTTCATATGTGTGCATGCCCAAAATCTTGAAAGGAGGGAGAAAAAAAGGAGAAGAGAATGTATCTTGGCTATCCCCTCCAGGGAAGGGAGGAGGTGCTCTTTCTACCCAGTGAGCACATGCACTCCCTGGTAAATTATAAAAAGGAAAAAAAAAAGTGTTTCACATAAATGCAAAGAAAAATCTCTAGATTATTTTTTTAATGTCAGTTATTTTATGGATGGATGGATGGATTTGCCAGATGGTGCCTATGCTTGCCAGAGAGACAGTACTCCCCAATGGGACATGGTTTTTCTACAATTTTTTTCCCTCTATTTTTCCATCCTGTCTGAATTTGGGGTATGCAAGTATGTTTTTCAAGCCACTGGGGCCAGGATTCAAATAGAGGTCAACTAAGTGGGATCTGGTTCCCTAGCATAAATCTTAACCTCTGTGCTACAGGATCAACCCTATCTCTAGATTCTTTATAAAAAAAAAATGTATTACATTGTACTGATAAAAGTACTATGAAAAAGAAAACTGAGTAGAAAGAAAAAACTGAAAGAGTATAGAATGTTTGAGAGATAAAGAAAGAAATAAGACCTAATTTATCTTTTTGCTATTAATTAAATTGTACTTTCAAATCTCTAAAGTTCTTCCAAAGCTGAAATTTTTATATTGACATTTAATAATGCCTTGCTGGAAATGGCCACTTTGTAAAACCTGCTGCTTATAAAATAATACCATTTGCTCCATTCATGTGAGATACTACTTACAACTAGATATAGGAGTAGAAAAATGCTAACTGGAAAGGGGGAAGGCAAACTAATAAATGCACTCTTCAATTCTGAAATTGGTTTTGAAAGTTTTCAATGCATTGAAAGATGAGCCTGTATTCAGTTTGGATTTAATGTCAGTTCTCTAAGTTCTGGTATAACCATCCTTTGGTATAATCGTATTTCATTGTATCAATTGGGACTACATGCAAATCAAGAATCCACAGGAAAGTGGAGTGATTTTTACAAACATAGAGTCATCGTATTTTTCTTGCATAAGAGAAAGCCTCAGGTAGAC